CACCACATTTTCTTTATTCATTCATCTATTTCTGGTATCTTTTCTTTGACAGTCTTGAGCCCTGAATTTAGATGCTACCTAACCTGTAACTGTTTTAAGGTGTTATAGATCGTTCGAACGTCTCCAAAGCATAAAAAGAGAGATTGGAATCCTAATCCCCAGTACCTCATATTATGACCTTATTTGGGGATAGTGTATTTCAAAGGTAATCATTCTTTATGGCTGAGTAGTACTCCATTGTGTACATATATCACATCCATTCATCTGTTGAAGGGCACCTAGATTGGTTCCATAGCTTAGCTATTTTGAATTGAGTTGCTATAGAAATTGATGTGATTGTCAGTGTGGTATGCCGATTTTAAATCCTTTGTATATATACTAAGGAGTCGGGTGACTGGGTCAAATGGTGGTTCTATCTCTAGGTTTTTTGGGTTTTTGTTTTTGTTTTTTGATGAGTCTTCATACTGCTTTTCAAAGCAGTTGCAGCAATTTGCAGTCCCACCAGCAATATATTAATGTATCTCTTTCCTGACATTCTTGCCAACATTCATTGTTACTTGAATCATTTGACAGTAAATGGACAGATCTGGAGATTATCATGCTAAGTTAAATAAGCCAGTTCCCAAAAGTCAAATGTTTTCTCTGATATGTAGAAGCTAACCTTCAATAAGGGGAAAAAAGGGATAGAAGTGCAGCAAATTAGGAATGAAGTGAAGGGAGGCAGGGACAGGAAAGAAAAAAGATGAATCTGATATAAGGTGTGTGTGTGTGTATGTGTGTGTGTGTGTGTGTGTATATATATAAAAGAAAATATCAGTGAATCCCACTATCATATTCCTTCACAAGAATGGGGTCCTAACTAGAATAAGTTATATTCCATGATTCTATAATTATATCAAAATGAATTCTATTGTCATGTATAACTAAAAAGAGCCAATAATTTAAAAAAAAATCAAGAGCAAAAGGAAAGATTGCTACATTTGTTTAAGGGAGGGGGGCGAATTTGTTAGAGTGGACCCTAATCCAATATGGCTGGTGTCCTTACTAAATAAAGAGAATTTGGACACAGAGATAACATAGGGAGACCATGAAGAATTCTTAGAGATGCTTCTCTACATGTCAAGGGATGCTTAAGCTTGCCAACAAATCACCAGGAAAAAGGGAAGTGATGTGGAGCAGATGCCCCTCACATCTCTCAGAACTATTGCTGATTTCTAGATCTTGGACTTCTAGCCTCTGGAACTGTAAGACAGTAGCTTTCTTTTAAATACCTAATTTGTAGTGTTTTGTTAATGCATCTCTAAAAAAATGAATATGTGATAATCCACCTTTTGGTGGTACCACTATCAAAAATGGGTACTGGAATAAAATGTGGTTCCTTCCATGTTCAATAAAAAGGTTCCCATGGAAATAGCCTTGACTAAGGAAGGATGAGATTCCTGATCTTTGAGAGTAAGGAGGATGCTACACACCTGTGCAGCTGTGAGCTTGTTCCTCCTGGGACTTGTCTGGGACTCCTGAGCTTGTCCCACCTAGACTCAGCCCCACACAATGTAGCTTTTTCCTCACTTTATGTCAGCTATTAATAGCTCTCATCTCAACTCTAGGCTCTGGCAGTGTCTCCTTAAACACTGAGGAGAGGAATTTCTGCAGCAGCTGTGGCCCCAGCTGGACTGTGATGAGACTGTTTTGGGCCAGAAGTATAAAACCCAGTAAAGTTTGGTGCAGGCTTCTTATGATCCATGTACTTTATGCAAAGCATTTATTAAACCAGAACTGATTACATTGCTCACTCCTTAAAACTTCCTTGTACTTAGATAAAATCAAAATACCTTGCCATGACCTAAAAGGTTCTGCGTAATCCATTTCCTACTTCCTCTAGGTTCTCATTTCATTGTCCCATTTGTAATACTCCACACCAGTTCCCCTTATTGGAAAACTTTCCCTCTGATTCTTCGACTCTCACTGCTCACTCGGTTGTCAGTACAAGTCACCACTTCCATTAAACCTTCTGTCCACTTCCTCAAAATTTGGGTTCCTCATCATTTTGTTAATATGGTTAAGATATTTTTAAACATTTTAATTTCACTTTCCCCATTAGAATTTAAGTTCTGCAACAGCAAGAAGGATCATAGCTATATGTCCATCACTTGGACATATAGTGCCTGAAACATAGTATGATGATTCGTTATAGCTTGTTGAATTGGGTTACTTTCTATAAGTTTATGATAGATCAAAAACTTACATTGGAAACAAAAACATTCATGCATATGATGCAGATTTGTCAACTGATTTCTGATATTAAAATAAATGTCCTAGCAAGAATCTAAATACAAAAGATAATACCTTTGTCAATCTTATCACCTTATTCCATTAAAATGTCATGTACAATTTTTGGAGGACAGCAATGAAGGTTATTTTAGTCTTTTATAATAAAAAACTCCAAATCTTAGTTTTATATATATATATAAAATTTTGTGGTGCTGGCAGTCAAACTCAGGGCCTCACATGTGCTAGGCAAGTGCTGTACCCCAAATGTACATTCCCAGCCCAATAGCTGAAATTTGTGCACTCACTAATATCTGATTTTAAAAACGTTTTAATAATTATTTAAGGATGTCAGAAGGAACTAACTGAAGAGACAACAATAAAGAAAGTTGGAAGAAGAAACTTACCAGCAATGGTTTCATTCACATTAGCTTTTCATTGCTGTAACAAAATACCTGAGGAAAAGGATGAAAGATGTATTTGGCTCATGATAGAAGTTTTAGTCCATAATAGAGGTTTCAGTCCATGGTTTGCTCCATTTCTTTGTACAGAACAACATTGTGGAAGGATGTGACAGAGGAAAGCTGTTTACCTAATAGCAACTGGGCAGCAAAGAAAGCTAGAGAAAAGAGCTAGGGACAAGATATTCCCAAAGGC